GGACCCGCCTGCTTGCAAGAGAGCAGGTGTGGGTTCTGCTCCTGCGAGCTCCCGCAGCGGCCTGCGCCTGGCCCGGAGGGCTGCCCACCTGTGGGGTGAAGGCCTCTGAAGCCCACATGCTTGCCGACAAGGCTCGCCTCGCTCTCCCACAGCTTCAGCGGTAATGAAGTCTTCTTCTGAGCTCCACCCGCCTGGTTCTGTGTCCCTCTCTGGGTTGGTGCAGTGGATACTCTGAGCATCCAAGTATGGCCAGAGGGGAAGGGGCAAAATGACACACACAGACTGTGTGGCGAAAGCCTACGTTTAGGCCTTTGGGGTTGGTTGTGTAGGTCATGTGTGGCTATGACCTTGGCAGCTCACAGAGGCAGGTGGCCTTGTCCTCACGGAAGGTGGCTCTCTCTCTCTCTCTCTCTTTCACTGGACCAGGTCTTGGTTGACGTACTAGCCCCCTGACCCTTAGTGAGCCGTGCGGCTCAGGAAGTAGATCAATTACAGGAAAGAGAAACTCTGCTTGCAGCTCTTTGGGTATTGATAGATGGGAGCGGGAGACCATTTTTTCTCTAGACGAGGGTAGTTTGTCAGCCAGGCTGCGCGCCGCAGCTTCAAATCGATGTCGACCGTTAAAAATTCATGATGTTAAAAACTCACTGGGCAGTGATCTGGAGTAGACATTCATCCCCAGAAGACATACAAATGGCCAATCAGCACAGGAAAAGATGCTCAATCACTCCTCATCCGAGAAATGCGAACCTGAACCACGAGGAGACGCCAGCCCACACCCGTTAGGACGGCCACTGGGCCACGCCAGGAAGCAGCACCTGGTGGCGAGGCTGCGGGGAAATCAGAGCCCGCGGGCGCTGTGGGTGGGATTGCAAACTGGTGCAGCTGCTGTGGTTTCTCAGAAAAAATGAGAGGGGCGCCTGGGGGGCTCAGTCAGTTAAGGGTCCAAGTCTTGGCTTCCACTCAGGTCATGATCTCAGGGCCCCGGGATGGAGCCGGAGCTCCGTGCTCAGCGCAGAGTCGGCCTGAGTGTCTCTCTCGCCCTCTGCTCCTCCTCCTGCTCACTTTCTAAATAAATAAATAAATAAATAAATAAATAAATAAATAAATAAATAAATAAATAAATAAATAAATAGATCATCTCTAAAAAAAATTATAGATCTATCATTTAATCAGGCGGCTCCATGTCTGGGGATATACTCAAATGAATTGAAAGCCGGAAACTCCCACTGCATTTGCTCACAGTAGCCAAAAGGTGGCGACCCCCTGGGTGGCCACAGGAGGGGGAATGGGTAGACGTGGGTGATGGAATGTTCCTCGGCCTTAAGAAGGAGGGAAACTCTGACACCTGCTACGACATGGAGGGACCTTGAGGACATCATACTAAGTGAAATGAGCCAGCCACAAAAGGACGAATATTGTGTGATTGCACTTAAAGAAGCCACCTAGAGGGATCCCTGGGTGGCGCAGCGGTTTGGCGCCTGCCTTTGGCTCAGGGCGCGATCCTGGAGACCTGGGATCGAATCCCATATCGGGTTCCCGGTGCATGGAGCTGCTTCTCCCTCTGCCTATGTCTCTGCCTCTCTCTCTCTCTCTCTCTCTCTCTCTCTCTCTCTCTCTCTGTGACTATCATAAATAAATAATAAATAAATAAATAATAAATAAATAAATAAATAATAAAGAAGCCACCTAGAATAGTCATATGCAGAGAGGCAGGGAGCAGAGCACTGGTCACCAGGGGCCTCCGGGAGGGGCTGCTGAGTCCGTTTTAGTTTCGATTTCAGATGATGAAACATTCTGGAGATGGACACTGGTGATGGGGGCACAACCAGGTGAACGCACTTCAAGCCTCTGAACTGTACACGTAGAAACGGTTTAAACGGTACATTTAATGTCATGTACATTTCACTGCAATTTTCAAAAAAGAGAAAGAGAATCACCATTTACCCAGCTGAAAAAAAAAATCTGGTAGTGTCACACAGGGGTAAGCTGTGTTCGTCCAGCTGCCCCAAACTCTGTTCCTCTTTCCTTAAAAATATTATTTTGATCCACCTTCAGGACTAAGAGAGGGTACAGGGAGGGGCCAGCCCTGAATTTCTCAGACTTGTCTCTGGGTTCCAAGGCACACCTCACCACCATCAATGTCTTCTTCACAGGAACGTTCCCATGATTTTAGAATTCAGATACCCAAACTGTAGCTTCACCCAAAGAAGAGTGTAGGTTTTATAAATAATAATTTTTTTAAAGATCTTATTTATTTATTCATAAGAGACACACACGGAGAGGCAGAGACACAGGCAGAGGGAGAAGCAGGCTCCCTGTGGGGAGCCTGATGCGGGTTTCGATTCCAGGACCCTGGGATCAGGATCTGAGTCAAAGGCAGATGCAAAACCACTGAGCCACCCAGGCATCCCTAAATAATATTTTTTTTAAAAAAAGGAATGGAGGCAGAGGAGTTTGCTGAGGTGTTACTGGCCAAGGCTAGAGGAAGGCACCTGCCCTCTGGGGTGAGGCCCAAAACTCACAAGGTGGTGGTCGTGGGGGTGCTGCTGACCTCCTTGGGAGTCCAACCGGGCAGGGGCCGCCTTCAGGGAAAACCTCAGCTGGGAATCTGGGGGTCGGGGGCCCTTGGAGCTCCCCAGAAAGCTGCCTCTAGGGTGATGTTGGGCTCCCTGGGATCCCTCCCCACCGGCTTCCCGCGGGGGCTGAGCTCCCCAGGACCAGGCGGAGAAGTCTGCAGAGCGCCCTCTGCCGGACAGAGCCTTGCGCGCAGCCTCCCGCCGAGGCGACGGCGGGCTTGGAGCTGAGCCTCGGGATTGGTAACGGGCCCTGGACGAGACGTGGAGAGCTGCGAATCTGGCCAGAGGTTTATGAGAGTTTTTACTATTCTGGGACTCTCCTGTATGTTTGGAATTATTCCTATGTTTAAAAACTTAAAGAACCCTTTTAGCCAAAGAGAACCAAAAGAAGACGTCGGGGAGGATGATTTTTTTTGACTTGAAGAAACTGCATCAGACTCTAGAAGAGAAACTGATTTGGGGCTTTGATTCCTTTGGACTTTAAAAGATTTTGATCTCTTTGAACTTGTATCTCCTGAGGGCAACACAATTTGATTTCAGACTGACTCTTTTAAACTTTAATTTGCAAGGAGATCAAATTTTAATATTTTTTTTCTCCTGGAAATCTGCAATGGAAAGGGTGAGCATTCTCCTTTCAGCTTTTTTACTGTTGGACTATCCTTTTGCTAAATCTTGATCTCATTGCAAAATCTTTGAAGAGCTCTATTCAACACGGTTTCATATCATTTGGGAAGGGAAATGGGAGAAACTGGTTATAGCAAGACCTTGGAGTTCATTAATTAGTGTTTTGATCTGATCCACTTCAGAACCTCTTGGAAGCAAACTTTTTACTGCCCAACAGCAGACCCAGGACGATTCAGACAGAAGTGCTTGGTACAGACGGAGCAGCCGAGTGAAGGGCGGAGCGGGGCTGTTCTACTAGATGGTTGATTGTCACCTGCTAACTGCGGGCTTTCCATTGAAGGTTAGACTTTAGACTCATGGGACTGATTTGTAGATGACAATATTTTGCATTTAATCACAGATTCAAGGGCCACCTGAAGCTCATGGTTGAGGATGGATTTGGATGAGCTGAAGACACGGGAAGGGCCCTTGAGGCCACCCACCGTTAGTCAGGTGCTGATGAGTCTGGGTACATGAGGCTTCTGAAACCTAAGCAGGGCCCATCCCGCTTCCCCCAGCTGATCTGGGGTTTAGCTTACTGACTGAGATTCCTAATTTCCTGCTAGTATGAGGGGCAGGGCATGAGCAGGACTATTGACCTCCTGTCTGCTGCTATCACAGACCTCAGCATGGGCAGGACAAATTCACTGGCCACTGATCAGCCCAACACTTCGGAAAAGCTTCCAACTCGTGTAGGTTGTGGCGTCATGGGGCACCTGACAGCTTGCTCCCCTCTCAGTGCAGCACGTGAACGTGTGTGTCTTTTCACCTCTGAACCCATAGGCTTCCCAGAACTCCTGACCCACCGTGGTGGGCAGTCATGGGGTCCCCACAAACAACCACCCCCAGACTGGAAGAGACAGGTGGGTGGTTAGGGTGGGGTTGTCCTAAGTAGCACTAAGGGTGGAAGGGCTTCCCTTGGCGAGGAGTGCAAAGTCTTAACTGGCGGGGAGGTGCAATGAAGGAGGTGAAGGCACCCATCCTGCAGGATTCCGGGGGGCAGGGGGTGGAGAGATCACGCCGCAGGGAAGCAGATGATGATGCTGGGCTTGGAGGCACAGTGGGGTGCAGGGTGGGGAAGGCCACCGGGGCTCTGAGTCAGGGAGTGGGGTGCAGAGGCGGAGCAGCCGAGAGCCCAATCGGGAGCCCTGCCTTCAGGGAGGAGAGGCCGAGGCTGAGAGCCGCAGGTGAGGCGGGCAGGGCGGCCTCTCCGGCCCCCGGATGCTGGCGCAGCAGCCTCAGGAAGGAGCAGCATTTTTGCCATTGAGAGTGGACACCACACACCCATGGCGGAAGGGAACCCTGGATTTCACTCCGGTTACACTTACCTCGGGGCTCGAGCACCAGTGGAAGCAGGCAAATGAGTGTCGGAGGTGGCTCTCTGAACTCCACTCTCATTCATTCTTCTACATTTTGCTTTCAGACATTCCGCAGAAGAAACAACACCCCGCAGGTAGGGACGATCTCCTCTGTGCTGGGTGTTTTTTGTTTTTTGTTTTATTAAGATTTTATTTATTCATGAGAGACACAGAGAGAGACAGAGACACAGGCAGAGGGAGAAGCAGGCTCCCAGTGGGGAGCCCGATGTGGGCCTCGATCCCAGGACCCCAGGATTGCGACCTGAGCTGAAGACAGACGCTCAACCACTGAGCCACGCAAGCGCCCCTGTGCCGGGTGTTATTATCCATAGAGTTTCTCTGGCACCTTAAGGATGCTCGTACACCGAGCCAACAGTATCAACTTATCGTGGACCCACAATGTTTATTTACTTATTGTTTATTTATTTATTGTGGACACAACAACGAACACACCTTTTAAAATCTCTAAAAGTAAGAAAGAGCTCAAGTCAGGAAGAACAGCTGCCCGGGAACGCACGCCCTTCCCGGGGAAGAAAATGAACAATTTGTACAGGGTTACAGCCTTTTTTACATCTTGTAAAAGCTCTAATGATTATAGATTCGCAGGCCGGCAGACAGGGATGCAGGGCCTAGGAGCATTGATTGACGTCTCAAGGACAGGATGGTTCCCTTGGGGCCGCTCATTCACGAAGCAGGTGCATGACCCATGAGCGTGCCGGGCCCTGAGTCAGGCTTTTGGTCCGAACAAGGTTTACACGCGGCCCTGTTGATCCTTAAGTGGCTTCCGTATTATATCAGGCCTTCAGAGAGTTTTTCTGCCATCATTCTGCTTGTGAAGAACTTCGGACGAAGAAACAAGACAGCAAAAGCAGAAAGCACAGTGGCATGGCATGGCAAGCATTTCTCCCCTCGACGGCGGGGTGCGGACAACGGGACTGTCGGGCTGTGGACCGAAATGAGGATAGTGCCTCTCTTTCCCCTCCACTCTAAATCTTTCCCCGGCTTCCCATGATGTATTTCACTACTGTATTGGGGGGTAGGAGGAGACTCCTCCTTTCCCTTCATATGATCCTTCTTTATTCAGGACACCTCAATTCATGGATTCTATTTTAAGAAAAAAAACATTGTAATAATGATGCAACAAGATTTTGGCACGCAGATATCATTGTACCACTGTGCATAATAATAAAAAAAAAAAACACGAAGTCATCTAAATGTCCCTGAAAGAGGAGGGCAGCTACTGTACCACTTGTGGCTTTTCCTCTTTGGACTCCTTTCTCCACTCACGTACTCCGTAGCATCCCCAGCTCAGACCTGCAACCGGCACAGGCAAAGGCACGTGACCCAGTCCTGACCACTCAGAGTGGGCCCTGGAGGTCTGCCCTGCTCCTTTCCCCGGCTGAAGGGGGTGCAGCGGGGTGTGGAGGAGTTGGGGGGCGTGCCTCTTGTCTGAAGCTCGTGCAGGCCTGTCTGAGAAATGGAAAGACAAATGCCTGGTGACATCATTTTTACTCTCTGGGTCCAGATGCACCTGCAGGCCGCTGGATCCCTAAGCTTTTTAAGCCCATGAGTCAATAAATTCCCTTTTTTGTGTAGGCCAGTTTGCCTTACTTTTGGTCACTTAAAACAGAGAATGATGACTAACACATGTCTACTTTAAAAGATCATATATAGGGATCCCCGGGTGGCTCCCTGGTTTGGCGCCTCCTTTGGCCCAGGGCTTGATCCTGGAGTCTGGGAATCAAGTCCCATCTCGGGCTCCCTGCAGGGAGCCTGTTTCTCCCTCTGCTGTGTCTCTGCCTCTGTCTCTCATGAATAAATGAATAAAATCTTTAGAATAAAATTAAAAAATAAAAGATCGTATATATAATCAAGAGACTATTTTGTGGGGATCCCTGGATGGCTCAGCAGTTTGGCGCCTGCCTTTGATCCAGGGCGTGATCCTGGAGCCCAGGGATCAAGTCCCATGTCAGGCTTCCTGCATGGAGCCTGTTTCTCCCTCTGCCTGTGTCTCTGCCTCTCTCTCTCTCTCTCTGTCCCTCATGGATAAATAAGTAAAATCTTAAAAAAAAAAAAAAAAAAAAAAGAGAGAGAGACTATTTTGCAACATTAAAAAAGTCTAAAAATGAAGTGAAATATAGAATGGTTGGAAAATATCACTAAGTGAAAACAGCAAGATGGGAAGTTCTAGAAGGAATGGAGAATGAGAGGGACAGAGAAAACTCTAGGCCGCAGGAAAAAAATCTATCATGTATCACAGCCTCGAGGGAGGGTCTCCATTGGGCAGTCTCATGACAAGTCAGCAAGGCTGGCCCTCTGACACCCCAAGGCAAGAGAAGCACGGGGTGGAAATTCTACGCCAAACTGCCAACAGGAGCCACCCTTGATTGCTGCCTTATGTCTAACCCCTGTGTCTGACTTGCCTGGATTTTAAAAAGTTGCATTTAATGTCCATGCATGGCTTTCAGAATAGCAGCTGAGATGTAAGAAAGGAGTTCACAGGAAGACAGGTGAACCGGGAAGCCTGGAGAGGACATCCTAAGTTGCTCTGAACTTGCGGGGAGAAAGGGCCCCTGGGCCTCTCTCCTTCTGATGGAATCCGGTCGAGCAGGTTCCAGTGACATCTTTTTGTATGCAAACCCCAGAGAATTACTGGGCATTCCTAGAGGTGGGGGAGGAAGGGAGCAGAGCACTGGAGACCCCTCACCTTGGGGACCCTCCTGGCTCATCCTCTGCATGTATTATAGCCCCCGCACCGATCCACATGTGCTTCCTGTGGACCTAGTGGGAGAGGGAGTGACGGGGACACGGGAGAGGCAGTGGGAATGAGGTGCCCCTGCCCCCAGCAGAGGGAGAGGGAACAAAAGGAAGCAGGCTGGAGAGGGGAGGCAGGACGGATTGACCTCACCATGCTCACTGGCTCGCAGCACCCTCAGGACCCAGTGGGCCCTCCCGGTTGCTAACACTCCAGGCATCGCCTCTGCCCACAACCCAGCCTGCCCCTACCCTGTGCCCTTCTTTCTGCCCAGTGACCTGTGGGCTCCACCTGCCCTCATCCTCTCCTGTCACCTGGGATCCTGCCTTGTCACGTCTGCCCACCTGCCTGGAGGCAGGGGGGATGAGGGGGCAAGGCGGAGACCCCTTGGCTCCACCTAAGATGAGCTTCTGGGAAAGAAAAAAAAAGAAAAAAAAGAAAAAAAAAGAGAATAAAAAATAAAATAAAATAAAAAAAATGAGCTCCTGGGCCTTTGCTCTTGCAACAGTTTCTGTAAAGAAACAAAAACAGCGGTCAGAGGAGGGCTTCGGTGGGGGGGCCCCCAGCGGTCGGGCTTCCTGGCTCTGCCACCCCCTAGCTTCGAGAACTTGGTTGAGCTACCTTCGCTCCCTGTCTGAGTCAGCGGGGGCTGTCCTAGCAGAACAGCACAGGCGAGGGGGCCTTAAATAATGGGACTGTGTGCTCCCCTGGTTCTGGAGGCTCTGGCCCATTGGGTTTCTGGCGAGACCTCCCTCCTGGTCACAGATGGCCACCTTCTCGCCGTGTCCTCGCAGACTGTGCAGGCGGAGACGGGGTCTCGTGTTCCCTCCTGCTCTCTCCTAGGTCACCCCTTCCAGTGGCCTTATTCAGCCCCAGTTGCCTCCCCAAGCGCCCCACCCACCCACCCGTAGTCACACTGGGGCTTCAACCTATGAAGGCTCAGAGACACATCCCGTCCACGACACTCCCAGTGGCCCAGGGCCTCTTCTCTGCAGCAGGGAAGAGCCTCTTCCCAGCACAGGGACCTCAGGGAGGCCTGCGAGGGACGGAAGGCGTGACCAGGTCTGCCCCCAACAGGCGCCCTTATCCTCCAGATGCGCCTCATGCGCCTCAACATCCAGGCGGACTTCTCACCCACACGCGGCTCCCTTAAGGCCCTGCCCATCAACCTTGGTGCCGGGAGCCCCCCGTAAAGCCTCCCAGCCCGCTCCAGCCTCCCGAGAGGGAGAGGCCGGCCTCACCTTGTGCCGCAGGCTCTCATAGAGCTGGGAGAGTTCTGTCAGCTTCGTTTCCAGCTCCCAAGCCTGGGCCCTCAGCTCTTCTGCAAGTGTGCTGCTTGCTCCCTCTTTCAGTTGCTTCCAGTTCTTCAGGAGGGTGGTCAGATCCGAGTGGAGGGAGAGGCCAGCCATGACACTCCCCATCAGGCGAGCACTTCTGGTCATCAGCAGCGTGGTGCCCTTGAAGGCCCTCTGCACCTGCCTGCTCCTCCGGGCCGAGACTTGGCCAGTGGTCATGAGGCGCTTGGCAGCAGTGACCAGACGCGGGCGCTCCCTGGCTATCTGAAGGGCATGGATGGTCCTCTTGACGTCCTTGATTTTACTCCTATAATCATAGGCCATCTTCCCGACTGTCATGGCGCAGACCGCAGCCTCCCGGACGTCGTGGCTGTGGGTAGACACTAGGCTGCTGACCTGAGCTTGGATGTCTTGATTTTGCAAGTGTTCCACAACATTGGTGAAGATGCTGGTGGTCGTGGCTGCTGTTCCCAAAACTTTACTAGCAGCAGAGAGCATCAGACTTCCTCCCGCTGTTACTGGAGCGAGGGCCAGACCCAGGAAGTTCATGGCTCCTGAGGTCACCGCGATGGAGTTGGTCACCATGTTGGTCTTGATCTGCATTCTATGAGCTGCGTCAGCGTGGTCTGCAAGGGCATGGAGTTTTCTGATGTTCGCTTCCAGCTCTTCTTTGATGATGGGATACTCTTCCAAAAACCTTATTTCTTCAGCAGACAGGTCCCTATCTTGTTGCTGCATGCCCTCCCTCAGAAGGATGCCCTCCTGGTCCCTGTGGGTGAACAACATAAAGGTTTCGCTTAAGCTCCCCAAAAGGGGAAGTCACATTCTTTGTCAGGCCCACTGTGGTTTCTGCATGTTCTTGCCACTCCTGCCTCTGAATCCTTCTGCATCTCCCTGACACCCCTGTGAACTCTGACCCGGTCACGGAAAGTGCCAGAACATTGTTGGGAGCTTCTGCTTCCGTGGAGAGAAGAAACACATAAGAGGAGCTTCTGGAGGGACAGGTGGGAGAAACAGAGCCTTGGCTAAAGAGATGGAGAAGGTAGATTAGTTCCTGAGGGACACGGTCAGCCTTGCGAGCGGTGAGGGAATGCTAAGTTCTGAGTCAGATAAAGAGCCTGGGACTGATGGAGGAACAGGTGTGGGAAAAGCAGGAGAAGGAGGAGACCAGGTGGAGGGTCCTGTACTTGTAGAGGCGGGTCAGAGGAGGAGGCTCCACATTGTACAACGCAGCCTACACTCCCATGACCTTGAGTTTGGCTGCCGTGGTGGCCTTCGTTCGCCTCCATCAGGAGCTACACACCGAGAGGGCTGAAGTGAATTATCACTAATATTCTGAAGGTTCTCCTTGGTCCGGGGCCAGGTTTATTTGACCACTCAAGCAGATGGGATTGGTGCTTCATAGAAGATGTCAGGGACAGAGGGGCCTCGGCCTCTCCTTTCCAGTATCTCACAGTACAAAGTATTAAGGCATCCTCGTCACCCTGGAGGAGTTTGGGCTTTTTGGGAAAGCAGTATCGGGAAAGAGCAATCCCTCTCCTTCGGGCACATTCTTCGTGCCAAAGGCCATTGGTGCATCTCCTTCAGGGTGAACTTAGGAGGCCAGGGGATGGCAGATGCCCTGGCCCAAGGAAGAGAATCAGAACTGGAAGGAAGCCTGGCCAGGATCCAAGTTGCCACCTTTACTTTTCAGCGGAGGGAACAGAAGCCCGGGAGGAAAGAGGACTCGCCGGAAGCAATGCATGAGGTGGAGAAGGAGCTCAGAGCCCACCGCTACTCTGGGCTGTTTCTCTCTCATCTGTCAGCCCCTGTTAGGAACTCCCTGCTGACGTATCTACACAGATGTCTTTTAATACTTGTCTCTCTCTCTCTTCACACACACACACAAAATTTCTCCACTGAAAAGGTGAAAAACCAAATATGCTTCCAAGGAAACCCCTGTGCATTAACAGTTAACGAATTTAAGCCCAACCATCAGTTAACCAGCAGCTGTAAATCAGGTCTCAGAGCAGAAGGCGGCAGGGGGCTCACCAGGTGAAAGGGAGACGATGAAGGTGAGGAGTGGGGGGGCATTGCTGAGAGTCCCTAACCTTTGTGGATGCCGCAATCCAGCCCTCCCTGCCCTGCTGTGGACAGGGGAGCGGGAAAAGGAGGCGACAGGACAAGGAGCTGCAGAGGTGGACAACCCCACTTTGCGCCCACTACTGAGTTTTGTCTTTAATGTGGTGGAGAAAGAACTGAAGTTTGGCTCCTTGAGCTTTTGAATGAACCAGAAAGTCTCTGATGCTCTTGCATCCTCAAGAGGCCACGACGCACCCTGGCAGGTGTCCAGTGGCGGCCCTGCGCTAGGAGGCACCACGTGTATGTGGCTCCCCTGGCTCATTCAGAGAACATCTGTTGACTGTCCACATTCTGGTGGAAGCCAGTGGGGCGACGTCTGCTGCTTAGGGGCTCATTGGGCCTGGATTCTTCAATGCAGTGACACTAACGGGCTCTTTTGGTGATGGGTAAGTCCTCACGGGCCTCACCCCATGAGCGGGGCAGTTTCTGGTCTTCCATGCCTATTGCCCAAGGTCGGGCACCTGACCTCACCTTCTCTCCAAAATATTCAGTGTAGGCCGTGGAATACTTTTTTTTCCTGTCACCCATCAGGATGCCTTGAGCATTTCAGCAGGACCCCTCCCCTCCCCAGGGACAAAGCTCTCCCCCCTCCCTTACCTCGAGCATCTTGTCTCTGCCTGGTTGTCCAGCGGCTCCTGTGGCCCCAAAACTGACCTCGCTGTGCCCATGGGAGAATTAGAGGTGTCTTCGGGAGGCACACCACGTTCTGGTTGGACACATGGAAAACACGGTTAGTGCAGGTGCCAGGAAACCTTGTGAAATTCAAAGTCTACGGCGCAATTTTAGGTTACATAAAATCCAAATAATAATGCGATACTGACAATATGCTAAATATTGTCAAACCTGTGCGGCTTATATTGCCGTGTAGCTTCTATGCAGATCCTCTGCATGTCTACCGAGGCAAGTCCTCGGCTCAATAAACTTTCATATATACACACCCAAGTAATCACCCTCATCACGACAGAGAACAGCAGCTTTCTTTGAACCACTCGAAGTCAGTACTCGCTCCATCCCAGGGGTAACCACTCTTTACAACCATTGATCAGTTTGCCTCCTCTGGACTTCATATAAATGGATTAATTTGTTTGGCTTCTTCCACTCAATAGAATGTGTGTGAAATTCACTCATGTTGTGGTATCACTGGTTTTAAAAATGATTGCTGTGGAGTATTCCATTGTATAAACACACTGCAGGGCGCCTGGGTGGCTCTGTTGGTTAAGCGTCCGACTCTAGTTTCAGCTCAGGTCGTGATCTCAGGGTCCTGCATTCAAGCCCCACCTCAACTCTGCACTCAGTAGGGAGTCTGCTTGTCCCTCTCCCTCTGCTCCTCCCCGATTCCGCACCCCCCAAATAAATAAATAAATAAAATCTTAAAAATCAATCAATCGATCAATCAATCAATACACTGCAACTTGTTGATCTATTCTTCTATCGATTGGTATGTTTGGGTTGTTTCCAGTCATGGGCTATTATAAATAAATTGATTATAGTAATTAAAAGATCATGTCACAGGACAAGGCAACAATTTATAAGGCCCCTTGGCATAAATTATATTCCTATGGACATATTAATATTATGAGAACAGCAAAAGGGCCTGCGGGAACATACAGGTGGGGTCTGAAATCCAACCCAGAATCTACTTGCCAAGTGTTGAGACCTGGGGGCCAGGGATGGGGGAGGTGCTGTGTCTATCTGGAGAAAGGAGCACTGTGGTTGTGTGCCTCCTTGCACACGGTTGCTATCCAGTTGTAGGGTACGCCTCCTCCGAGCTAGATCCACTCACGGGCTGGGTGGGCTTTGTCTAATAAGCCCCAGGGCACCCAATGGGCTAGTGGTGGCCCTGATCTAACTTATATGTTAAAATGATCACTCTGGCTGGAAAAGAGATTCTGGATTTGCAAGAGAGGAAGCAAGGAGACCAGTTAGAAGTTATCGTGGTGGTTAGAGCAAGAGAGAACGGCTGCTTGTACTAGGTTGGTGGAAGTGGTAAGAGACATTGTATTTACAGGAAATCACAGGATTAACAGAGAATACATTTCTGTTGTTTCCATCCCCCCAGTCGGTGGTGCTTTTGTTTCGGTCCCTAGGAAAGAACACACTCTCTCTCATTTCTTCTTCTATATTTGGTGCTTGGCCCCAGAGTTTTGGTCAGAAATGCTATGGTCGAGATAGGCCTTCTCTCTCCTGGTCATCTTCCTCTCCCTCTCTATTTCTGAAAGAACTTAGGAGAAAAGTCCTCCCATACATATTTTGAAGGCACAAAAATCCTTGCAATGTTTTTTTTTTCCTTCTAATGATTAAAATAAATACAGGTTTACTGTAGAAAGTTTGGAAATAAAGAATACAATTATTCTGTATTCTCATCACACAAAATAACCACTGGGGACATTTTATTTACAAGCAAAACAAAGTGTAGACTCATTCAGTTTTGTGCGAATTTTTGTCACTTAACATTACATCAACGTTATGGTGCCCGGTATTATTAAATAGTTTCAAACAAGCTATTTAAAGGCTGTGCAACATTCCATTAGATAGATGTATTATTATGTATTTAATAACTTCCCTACCATTGAATCTTTGGGTTGTCTTCAGTTTGAGCTTTGTTTTTTTTTTTTTTTTAAAGATCTTATTTATTTATTCATAGAGACAGAGAGGCAGAGACACAGGCAGAGGGAGAAGCAGGCTCCATGCAGGGAGCCTGATGTGGGACTCGATCCAGGGTCTCCAGGATCATGCCCTGGGCTACAGGCGACGCTAAACCCCTGCGCCGCCACCGGGGCTGCCCTGAGCTTTGTTTTTGTTTGTTTTTATAGTCTTTGCTTTATAAATACTTTTGGATCGTTATATAAAAGTTGGTCTACACATTTGGTTATTTCTTTGGGATTGTCTTTGAGGTAGAGTTACTGCATCAAAGATAAAAAATGTGTTCTAACTGGCTTATCAAGCTAAGTTTCAGGGGTTTGGCTCCAGAGTGAACGTGACCTATAATAGGAGGCACATTTTTGTGCTTAATTGTGTCAGACGTGCATCTACCTACTTTATACACCTTTAATCCTCTCAATGGCTCTCTGACATAGATGCTAATATTATCCCCATTTCCCAGATGAGGAAACTGAGGCACAGGACACCAGTGCCATGCAACTGGTAGATACGAGAGCACAGTGTGATTCCAGCTAGGTCTGCAATACAAGCCTAGAGCAGCAGACCTTAATCGCGGGTGAGTTTTCTCCCCGGAGGGTGTTGGTAATATCTGGAGTCATTTTCAATTGCCATACAACTCTGGGAGAAGCAGGAAGTGCAGCTATTGGCCTTGAGTCGGTGGAGGCCAGTGCTGTTTGTAAACGCCCTGTAATGCACAGGACAGCCTCACAACAAGGGACGACACAGCCCAAAATGTCAGTGGGGTTAAGGTTGAAAAACCTCAGTCTTGGGGTGCGGGGGTGGTTTATTCCGTTGGGCATCTGATTCTTGATTTCAGCTCAGGTCCTGGGATTGAGCCCCAGGTCAGGCTCCAGGCTTAGCAGGGAATCTGCTTGAGATTCTCCCTCTCATTCTGCCCCCACCCCTGCTCACTCTCTCTCTCAAAATAAATAAATAAATCTTCAAAAAGAAAAGAAAAACCCCTATTCTTTGCCGGCCCTGTGATATGCGAAGGTGACCCAGGGAGCCCTTTGGTCCCGCCCAGGTCCCCCCCCCCCCCCATTACTGACCTTCTCTTTTTCCACTTGTGAGCTTGTATTTATGGCAGTTGTTCTTTGCCTGCCTGGGGAGCCTTCAGCCTCATTCTGCTGTCCAGAGGCCCCTGTCCTGCAAACCAGCTCCCTCATAAAGGCAGCTTGCTCGGAGAACATGGCTTTGAGATACTCCCCGAAATCTTCACCACTGTCTTCCCCCACTTCCCAAAACCTCCCCCCAATAAACCTGCAATCCTGGGAACATGAGATGGTTTTGCAGTTCAGGGACAAGCTGCTGAGCATCTTTTTGTTCTGTGAGGATGACATCCCCTCAAGGGAAAAGCCTGTCACCAGTGAGGCCTCCTATGTTCCAGGGGCTGGGCCCTCTTGTCTAGGGCTTGGGGGGGGGGTTCCCCAGCCAGTGGAGGGGAGATGTACCTTGGTTTGTCTTCGCACCTCTTAATCCTGTTTCCATTTAAACTTCAAACAGCCCAGGAGAGAGTCCTCCCCTGATATACCATCAAAGAGGTTGAGGTTTAGACCTTTCCTGAGGTCAGATCCCTGGCAGGAGGGGTTTGAACTCCGGGGACCCTGGCGACAGCTCTTTGTCCCAAACCAAGTGCCTTAGCCCAGTCGTCAGGGCGGGAAGCAGCCTCCCTCCCCTGCCTGCTTTCACTGTGGCCTCGGGTGCCTGGGGAGAGGAGCCCCCTCCCCCCAGTCCTCACCTCTTGGGGGGCCTCTGGCCTGATGGCGGGGGCCTGTGGGAGGCCAGGCAGCAAGGGTGGAGTCTCTGACCGGAGCTGCGGTCCAGGAGAAAGCCTGAGCCCCCCGTGGCCTACTCCCAGGGGCCGACAGGCTGGAGCCGAGCTCAGAACAGCAACTACTGAAGCAAAGCTTCTGGGAAAGGCGGGGCTTGAAAAATGGGTTTCGCTTTTCCTTTCCTTTTCCCTTTCTCTACTAGCGTGTGGTGACAGGTTAGCAGCACCGCAGGCAGGGCCCCGGGCCCCCTCACCCTGTCCTGGCTGTGCGCCGGGCAAGAGGACACTGGCTAGGAAGGCAAGGACTCAGGCCAGCGGACCCCGGGGGGGGGGGGGGGCGGTCGCGGGGTCGATCGGCCCCTGGCCTCCACTCTCCACCTGGGAAATGGGTATAAAAATAGCTCCTGTGGCACAGAGCCATGGTGAGGAGTGAGGCCCCTGGGGCCCAGGTGGACAGGGTGCCCCGCTAGCGCTTCGACGGTGGTCACCATGGGTGGGCTGCCCTCATGTCGCTTCCTCGCCCCTCTGAGCTGGGTGACGGGCAAGGTCTGACGCCTCCCATGTGTAACTGGGGAGTGCAGAATTCTCTGAAGACCCGGTGCGTTTCTGTAATTCATTTGATGGTGGAACCTGACCCCGCCTCTGCAGGGACCTGGTTTTTATGTATCCCACTTCATTTGCATATTCATTGTTTCCCTGCAGAAGTATTAGGGTGTGACTAAACCTTTCCAGGGACACCTGGGCAGCTCCGCGGTTGAACAGCTGCCTTCAGCTCAGGGCGTGACCCCGGGGTCCTGGGATCGAGTCCCACATTGGGCTCCCTGCATGGAGCCTGCTTCTCCCTCTGCCTGTGTCTCTGCCTCTCTCTGGGTCTCTCATGAACAAATAAATAAAATCTTTAAAAAATAAATAAATAAAAGAAAAAGAAAGACCTTTCCTCTCCCCACATCCAAACCATTGGAAACTCTGGAACATATCTGGCCCCGATGGTTTGAGATACAAGATTGTGGTTGTGGCTCTCCCGTTTGCAGATGAGGAAACTGAGACCTCAGGCCGGCGCAGGGAGGGGGCAGGGGCTTGCCCGTGGTCGCACAGCTAGGACAGGGTGAGGGACCCTGTTCTGGGCTCCATGTCTGTGGGAATGGCCTGCCTCGCAGTCGTGGGCTGAGATCTGTGTCCCCGTACGAGGGCCACGTGCTCTGTTCCTGTGGATCAGGCCGGGAGCCCCAGGTCCTCTCCGCTGCCCTCCTGGAGGCCACACTGGGGGCTGGTGCTGGCACACGGAGTGGCCCGGCCAGACAGCCTTGGCTCTGCGGGCGTCCCCCGGGCCCTCTAGCAGGGAGGAGGGATGGGAGGCTGATGAGCTGCTGAGCTGCGACTCGGCGAGGCCTCCAGGGCACTGGTGTCCTGGCCTCCTGTGCTCAGGGGCCCTTGGAGGCCGTCCTTGCTGGAGGGCTGGTCAGCCCAGGCAGCTGCCATCCAGCCCCTCTGCTGCTTCTCCCCTCCCCCCAACCCCCCCCCCCCAACATAGACCTGGATGCTGAGGCCTCTCCAAGGTCTTGGGAGCCTCAGGGGCCAGGCTGGCCATCGGACTGAGTGGTGCTCACCCCGATGGCCCTTGTGAAGCAAGAGCCCCAAGAGACTCAGCTTGCCTTAAAGCTCCCTCGGTCTCTTGTGATTTCAGGCACACTGTTTTGGGTGAAGTCGGCCGGTGGGGCATGTTCGGGTACATCCGGACCTGAATTTGGCATCAAGGCTTTTCTTCTCCCTTTGAAAGTTTGCAGCCCACTGAGAAGGCAGCTGGGTGGTCCCTCTGGGGTCTCACTGGCCTACTCAGAGGCCTCCTGTGTCCCACTGTCCACCTGGTGGCTGTCTGCTGATTTGCTGGTGGTCCCCGGGCTCCGAGGAGCTACAGATGCTCTGGTTTCAGCTACATTGGCATCCTGCCCCCAAGGAACAGGCTCCATGCCCTAGGCCTGGGTCCTGCCTTGCAGACCTCACTCAGGCCCTGGGGAGCTGCAGGGGGCAGTCTAGGGGGAGGACTAGCCCAGGAGGCCTGGGGGTTGGGGAGGAAGTGGTCAAGCCCCTTTCTTTCTTTTTCTTTCTTTCTTTCTTTCTTTCTTTCTTTCTTTCTTTCTTTCTTTCTTTCTCTTTCTTCTCTTTCTTTTTAAAAATATTTTATTTATTTATTCATGAGAGACACAGAGAAAGAGGCAGAGACACAGGCAGAGGGAGAAGCAGGCTCCCTGTGGGGAGCCTGACGCAGGACTTGATCCCAGCACCCTGGGATCACGCCCTGAGCCGAAGGCAGACACTCCACCACTGAGCCACCCAGGGGCCTCCAAGCCCCTTTCTTGACCCAAACACACCACAGAGTCTTCTCTGGCTCCTGCTCCTGCCCCGGTCCTCTCTGCTCCTGGCTGTCTCCTCCCCCGACACAGAGTTTTCAGGCCACTCTGCCAGAGTCTGACCATCCGGGGAGCAATTGCTGTTGGGACACTAACCCTTGACTTGTGACTCTTGATCCTCCATCTGCCTGCCTCCCTCCCCATCCTGGAAGGGTTCTCCCTCCACCCCTCTCTATAGGGACTTCCCTAAGGTCAGGTCTGCAAATTGCCCCCATCCTGAGGACTTCTTGTCTTTTGCCCTTGTTCCTTGAGAGATTGATGGTGGAGAGGGTTGGGGACAGGACGTCTCACAGACCAAGGATACTATCCACAGGGAGCTATTTCCAAAAAAATCCCCTTTGCTCTTGTCAAAGGCTTAGAGCATTTCTATGTCACCAAACAAACCAATAGTGCCTCCCTTTTGTAACCTAAATGAGGATGGTAGGAATGCCAACCAGTTCGCCAGCCTGAGGCTGGAGGTCAGACCCTCCTTGCTGGGGCTTGGCCACGATCGCTGTTGCTAGAGAATTAGGGAGCTGACTGCCAGGCACCTCTGTGCTGCCTGGAGCTGGACTTTATTCAGTTTTTTGAACTCAAGCCCCAGAGATTGATTCACACTTACATAACTTAGGAATTTTCTGGCACACCCCCGAGGCAGCTCCAGCTTCAAAGGTGCAGCAAAACCTCCAGGCCTGGGAAAGGACAGGGAGCCAGCAGCCAGCAGCTCATCGAGAGCTGGGGGCAACTCAGGAGGCTGGTTTCATCACATAACTCAGCCACCTGCCCCTTCCTGACTGTTCGGGTGTTGTGATCCTTCAGGAGGATGTGGTTGACCTAGCCGGGGTCACAGAGTGTGTTTTGGGGTGTGTCCTAATCTTAGTCTTGTGGGGACCTATAACAAAAACACTGCAGATTGGATGGCTTCTAAACAATAGACATTTGTCACAGTTATTGAAGCCAGATGTCCGAGATCATGGTGCCAGCATGGGGGTGGGGGGTTCTGGTGAAGACCCACTGCGGGGTTGCAGACTGCTGACTTCTCCTGTGTCCTCACACGTGGAAGCAGCCAGGTTGTTGTGGGATCTTTTAGAAGAGGGCACCAATCCTGCTCCTGAAGGCTCCACCCTCACTACCTAATCAATCACCTTCCAAAGGCCCTACCTCCAAATACCATCACCTGGGGCGTAGGATTCCAGCATATGAATCTGGGGTGGGACACACAGACACGGGGCTCTCAGAGGCTGAGAGGCATGAGGTGGGGCTTGGTGGTTGGTGCTCCCACCAGAACCACATGGGGTAGAGGAGAGGCAGTTACGCAAAGGAAGGGGGCGCTCTTCCTAGAATTGGCCAAGAAAGGATGTTGGGCAGGGGAAAGTAACAGTGTCCTCTGTGCCTCATCCTTTGCACTGCCCACCCCCACATCCTCCTTCCAGGTATAGGACTAAAGACGACCTTCCTTAGGAGATGCAACAACCCAGATAAAGCACTGGATGTCTCTACTCCTCCCCAAAGGTCACACACCAAATCACACCCAGAGGTGGTATCTGCAAGGCAGCGGATCTACCCAATGGAGCTACCAGGCTCTGAAGGCAGGGGTCTGGTCCTCTCTCATTCTGTCACAGCCCTTATTTATTTTTTTAAGAAGATTTTATCTATTTATTCATGAGAGACACACAGAGAGATGCAGAGACGTAGGCAGAGGGAGAAGCAGGGTCTCTGTGGGGAGCCGGATGTGGGACTCGATCCCAGGACGCTGGGATCACGCCCTGAGCTAAGGGAAGATGCTCAACCACTGAGCCACCCAGGCATCCCGACAACCCTTACTGACATTCTCAGATCTGTGACCTCAGTGGTAAATTTAACCACCCCCAGTAGTTAATAAAGGCAATAAGGAGGAAAGGGAAGGAAAATTCTGAAAAATCATGCTGACACAGCAAGCAGGCAGTTACAATCCTTTGGTTATAATCTTTTTATGAAACTGGAATTACTGATATTATTGCCAGCTTCAAAAATATTAGTAATCTCATGGCAGTAATCATCAT